CCCTAACCCCCTACCCCCGCCTCTGTGGAAGGCACATTCTTTTTTACTCTCGCTCTCTCTCTCCTTTTGGGTGTTAAGGGAGGGAGAGAGAGAAAGGGAGAGGGAAGCATTCAAGAGAGAACACAAACTTCTCCAAAGGCATAGAGAGTTTCTGCATTAAATACGAAAGTGCACATCTGAAGAGGGGAAATGCAGACAACACATATGCTTGGCAGTAAAACATGGGAACAGGCAGCACATAGTCTTGGGCTGTAAATATGTGTGCTTTTTTGGTTCCAGTTGGCTTTTATTGGCTTTCTCCAAAGCTGTCCCATGTGTGGCTTTCTGAGTAGGTCAGGGTCTATTGCTAGGATGGTTTACCAGGGGGTAGAACTGGGAGCAGTGGATCTTTTATTTACTTATTTATTTATTTTTACTAAATCATCATGAGATACAGTTATAAGCTTTCATGATTGAGTTTTAGTCATACAATGATCAAATACCCATCCCTCCACCAGTGCACATTCTCTACCAGCAATGTCCCCAGTATACCCTCTCTTTCAAACCCTCCCATTGCCTCTATGGCAGACAATTTCCCCCATACTCACTCTCTCTCTACTTTTGGGCATTATGTTTTTCAACACAGATACTGAGAGGTTATCATGTTTGGTCCTTTATCTACTTTCAGCACACACCTCCGATCCCAAACGATCTCTCCAACCATCACTGTCTTAGTGATCCCTTCTTTGTTCCAGCTGCCTTCTCCCCCAGCTTTCGAGACAGGCTTCCAACTATGGGGCAATATTCCTGGCCCTTGTGTCTACTGTCCTTTGGTCTCAGTCTAATCTGATGTTATTTTATATTCCACAAATGAGTGCAGTTCTTCTATGTCTGTCCCTCTCTTTCTGACTCATTTCACTTAGCATGATACTCTCCATGTCCATCCACTTATAAGCAAATTTCAAGACTTCATCTCTCTCAACAGCTTCATAGTATTCCATTGTGTAGATGTACCAAAGTTTCTTTCATCAGTCGTCTGTTCTCGGGCACTCGAGTTGTTTCCAGATCTGGCTATTATGAACAGTACTGCGATGAACATATAGGTGCGGATATCATTTCTACTGTGCTATTTTGGGAGCAGTGGATCTTTATCCTTAAAATTCCATTCCTGGCCTTTGTTGCTGCAGGAATTTTTCTCTGATGGGGGTCCAACCTTCTCTGTTTCTGTGCTGGCACCAGGTAAAGGACTTATCAGGCCTCAGTTTCTGTGTCCACAAGGTGGGTTTTTGCAGTCTTGGAACTATTGATTTTATTTTTTCCCAGGAATTCATTGCCATGGGGAGTCGGGGGAGGGGGTCCCTTCCCTCTCTACCTACCTGCCTCAGGACTGTTCGTTTGTGTTGACCATACTGAATTTGATTCATATTAAACTTGCTTTCTTTGGAAATCTGACAATCTGTTTTTTGAAAAAAAGCCTAAAACTTTGACAGGGAGTCTAGAACACCTTTTGTTTTCTTCATGCCTTCCTTCCAAAGGATCATAGCTAACCATCTAAAGAAAATATTTACCTTCTTCTGATCTTCCCCTCCCCTCCCCCCTCTTTCCCATCCCCACCTCCTACTTTTTATAATACAACGCTTCATGTGTTCAGATACTCTAGCTTTGATCATCTTTGCATTCTGGAGTGATAGCACAGCGGTAGGGTGTTTGCCTTGTGCACAGCCAGCCTGGCCAAGCCGGGTTCAATTCCTCCACCCCACTTGGAGAGCCCGGCAAGCTACTGAGAGTATCTTGCCCGCATGGCAAAGCCTGGCAAGCTATCCGTGAAGTATTCCATATGCCAAACACAGTAACAACAAGTCTCACGATGGAGATGTTACTGGGCACACTAAACCAAATTGATGAACAATGGGAAGACAGTGTTATAATAAAATACAAGAGGTACTACATGGAGGGGCTGGAGCTATAGCACAGCGGTAGGGCGTTCGCCTTACAAGCGGCCAACATGGCCGACCCAGGATCAATTCCTCCGCCCCTCTCGGAGAGCCCGGTAAGCTACCGAGAGTATTCGATATGCCAAACACAGTAACAACAAAGTCTCCAATGGAGACGTTACTGGGCCCCCTCAAGCAAATCGACAATCAACGGGAGGGCCTTTACCTTTACCTTACTACATGGAAAGTATCATGCTAAGTGAAATGAGTCAGAAAGAGAGGGATAGACATAGAAAGATTGCATTCATCTGGGGAACATAAAGTAATAAAATAGGAGACTAACACCCAAGAATAGCAGAGATAAGTACCAGGAGGATTACTTCATGGCTTTGAGGACAACCACACATGCGAGGGGAAAAAGCAGCTCAGATAGAGAAGGGAGCACCAAATAAAGGGTGTTGGGAGGTTCCTCTCAGGATGGGAAATGTGTGATGAGAGTAGACTACAGTCCAAACAAGATTGCCACTCAATATCTCTTTTGCAAACCACAGCACTCAAATGGAGAGAGATCACTTAATCACTTAATCACTTAACTTCCCGTTAGTCGTCGATTTGCTCGAGCGAGCACCAGTAACATCTCCATTTTTCCCTGTCGCGTGCTAGTGTAGCCCAATGGCATCTATTCGCTCCAGGAACATGAAGGGCCTCAAACCAATCGTTCATGATCTTGACGAAGAAGTCTGACCATCTGGTAGGTTGGCGGCCACGCGGTCTTTTGACATCCCGTGGAATCCAGTCGGTACAGCTCTAGTCCAGCGATCGTCTTTAAATCTCATTACGTGACCAGCCCATCTGATTTTTGACACCTTGGCAAATGACACAGCGTCCCTGATTCTTGATCGTCGAAGGATTTCAGAACTCCGGATTCTTTCTCTCATTTGAGTGAAACGTGATATTCCAAGCATAGTTCTATTCTTCTTTGGGAGACTTGAATAGCATTCTCATCCTGTTTGCGTAGGGCCTAGGTCTCTGAGGCATATGTTAATGCAGGAAGAACAGTGGAATCAAAGAGATGTGCCTGGAGCTGGAGGTTCTTCGTCCTCTTAGCTATTTCTTCAACGTTCTTGAAGGCGTTCCAAGCCACTCTCTTCCTCCTGCGCAGCTCGGGTGCCAGGTCATTTGTCATGTTGACTTCTCGACCTAGGTACACATAGCTGTTGCATTCAGAGATGGTCGTTCCATTGAGAGCGAATGGGGCATCAGGAACAAGGCTGTTTCTCATAAACATTGTCTTCGTAAGATTCAGCTGTAGTCCTACCTTTCCACACTCACGGTCAAAGTCGGCCAGCATTTGTGCCGCTTGACTGATGTTTGGTGTTATTAAAACAATGTCATCAGCAAAGCGGAGGTGGTGTAGTTGCCAACCATCTATCTTCACTCCCATTCCTTCCCATTTCAGTCGTTGCATGATGTTCTCGAGAGTGGCACTGAAGAGTTTCGGTGAAATGGTATCGCCCTGCCGCACCCCTCTCTTGACATCAATGATCACTTCTTTGTAGAATGGTGAGATCCTGGTAGTGAATCCGTAATACAGCTCGCGGAGGATCCTGATGGAGAGAGATAACAAAAGGAAATGCCCTGCCACAGTGGTAGAGTGGGATGGGGGATGGGGGATGGGGGAAGGGGGGTCAGAGGGATACTGGGACTGGTGCTGGTGGAGAATGGGCACTGGTGGAGGGATGGGTTTTCGATCATTGTATAACTGAAACCCAAGCACAAAAATTTGTAAGTCTACAACTGTACCTCATGGTGTTTCACTAATAAAGATTTAAGGAAAAAAAAGAGAATTGTTCGACAAAAGGGAATGCCCTGCCACAGAGGCAGGGTGGGATGGGGGGGATGGGTGTGGGAGGGATACTGGGATTCATGGTGGTGGAAAATGGGCACTGGTGGAGGGATGGGTATTTGATCATTGTATAATCTAAACCCAAGCACAAAAATTTGTGAATCTACAACTGTACCTCATGGTGTTTCACTAATAAAAATTAATAAAAAGATGAAGATTTTGCTTCTGCAGTGTTTCTTGTAAAGACTGCAGTGGCTATAGTTCAGAGAGCCAGAAGATGAACATGCTATCACAGAACTAACATACACCTGTTCTAGGCCCTAAACCTTAGTTTATTTCCTTTCTAGTTCTGCTATCGCTGGAGTGATAGCACAGTCGTAGGGCGTTTGCCTTGCACGCAGTCAACATGGCCAACTCAAGTTCGATTCCTCCGCCCCTTTCGGAGAGCCCGGCAAGCTACCGAGAGTGTCTCGCCCACATGGCAGAGCCTGGCAAGCCACCCGTGATGTATTCGATATGCCAAACACAGTAACAACAAAATCTCCAATGGAGATGTTACTGGGCCCGCTCGAGCAAATCAATGAACAACAAGAGGGTCTTTGCCTTTACTTTTCATTTCCTTTCTAAAATTTCATTACTAAAGTACACAGAAATGATATGAAAAATCCTACTAAGACAAAGCAATAGTAAAATGAATAGGGTGCAGAGCCAGGATCAAAGCCTGAGCAAGAATCAGGAAGAATCAGAGACTCCACTGCCTAGGAGCTATGTAACTCCCCACCCCCACCCGCCCCTTCCCCAGTTGTTTGAGACAATAAGGGACCTAGAAGAGGTGAATGTAAATGTGGTTCCAGAGAGCCAGGACTCCCAATGGGTTTAGGGCCAAAAGTAGAAAAATTTTAAGTCTTGTCTCTGAAACTGCTTCTGTGGACGCTTCCTGTTTAGAAAGCAGTTTCCAGTGTTATTACTTGTAAAGAGAATATTAATCCTCTCTGTCTTGTCCCTTTGAGGAAATGCTCAAAGCAAAGCATACTACCCACTTCTCCCATTTCCTCCCGAAGTCCAGCAGGACTCCGCCCCCACCACAAGTTGCAGTGTCACTTTCCAAAGTAAACCAGTGAGTTCGGACTTCCTTGTTGAGGACTCAGGAAGAGGCAGCTGCAGAGGAGACTGGGAGCACGCTGTTGTCTGCAGTGTAGAACAACAACACAACTGTTGGCAAAAGGTTATGTGTGTGTGTGTGTGTGTGTGTGTGTGTGTGTGTGTGTGTGTGTTAGAGAGAGAGAGAGAGAGAGAGAGAGAGAGGTGAGACCCAACAAAGCTGAAAATCCGCAGGGCTTTGCTCCCTAGTTCTCTTCCTGTCTGCTTTCACTTTCACCAGACCCCATGTCTCATCTCAGTTTATCCAGGATGTGAGGTGAGTAAAAACCCAACCGGGGTTCTCTGTGGGATGGGGGGGGGGGCGCGATGCTTCTTCCCAGAGTGTTTGTTGCACCCCTGGGGGTGTGAGAGGGAAGTAACTGGCAAGGGATATAAATCCCGGGAACTGATCTCGACGCCATCTAGAGACCAGTCCTGTCATAGGAGGGGAACTGACTTTCCACTAACCTTGGCTGAATCCTGTTTTACCTCTCAGCATTGCCTATTTAAAGAAACATTTTCTCATTACATTTCATGCTGTCTCTACTTTCTCCCCCTCAAAGTTCCCACAGTGAGAAAAAAGGAACATGGGCATATTCCTAACCTGTTGGAGCAGAGGGAGAAGTTCGAAGTCTTCCATCTCCTGGCTGCTCTCCCCTGCATCAGACTATCAGATACTCTGGGGAACACCGGGGTATTAATGGCCAAGCTCCTACCCTCTTCACAACCCCTTCTGCTCTTCCCTGTCCCAGCTCCCGGGTTCTGTAACGACTCAGGACCCTAGTTCGGTACTTCTGAGAAACCAGGCAGGCAGGAAAGAGATAGTTCCAGAATCTCAAGGTGCTCTGGCCCAGGACCTACCTTTATTTTTTTTTCAGTTCTTTCCATTTTATTTCCTTCAGGTCTGAGAGGATAACAGGAAGAACATTCAGCTTCTTGATTACGCTGGTGGACGTTCTGCTTCATGGTTATCCTGATGGAATGTCCACTGTGACTATACTATATTTTATATAGTATATATATTTTATATATGGTATATATAGTACATATATTTTATATCAATTACGTTTACCTATATTTACTATATTCTCTTGTTCTTTGAGCGTGAGTGGGAGAGAGGCTCTGCTGTTATAGGCTCTGCACCCCCAAAACTTTTCCAGGGTTAGAATCCTTGCCTCAAATCAAGGAGTCTTAATTAGCTGGCTAACTACTGCTCTCAACCCAGCCTGGTTGAGAGAGGCAGCCCCAGGACCTGGAGCAATAGCACAGCGGGTAGAGCATTTGCCTTGCATGTGGCCGATCCGGGTTCAATTCCCAGAATCCCACATGGTCCCCTGAGCACCACCAGGAGTGATTCCTGAGTGCAAAACCAGGAGTAACCCCTGAGCATTGCTGGGTGTGACCCAAAAAGCCAAAAAAATAAAATAAAGTAAAATGAAAAGAGAGGCAGCCCCGAGGGCAAAAGGTGAGGGTTTTCTATAGGGCAAAACCATATCCTGGAATTTCACTAAGCAAGCAAGCAGGTTACAGAAGCAGAAGAAGAATAGCAAAGTTAGAGAAGAGTATGTCTAAACCCAAGCTGCACCTTAATAGTGGCGTGATTACTCAAAACCTATTATGAGAACAGGTGCAGGAAATTCCTTTCGAACCTTTGTTCTTGAGAAAAGGACAATATAAATTCCCCCTTTTTGACTGATCCAACATCAGATGAATGCTCCCATATAACCAGATGTGAATTTTTCCAGGGATACACCTTCATAACTCTATCATTACCTAACTGGCACTCCAGTTACAAAACAGTAATCCAGGCACCAGTGACTCTTGATATTCAGAGAGTGAAAAAGAATTTTAAAACCTCTCCTTGCTGCATCTTTTGTGAGGTAGGCTCTCTTGCTTCTATATTCTCTTCTTGTCCTTGGTCCAAAACACTTCCCCCGATGATGGCATGTTATATTTGGGGGGCTATCAGGTAATAGTAGCCCCATGAACAATTTCAGCAAGGGGACTTTGTCTAGTGAGTGGAGAGAGAGAATATTAATGTATATTTATTTTTATTAGTATCAACGTAAGTGACTACATTGCCTAACATATTCCATAACAGAGTCACATGGCACGCAGCATCTGAATTCTAATTCAATTCTACTCTCCGTCAGAAGCTATCAAGACCTGTAGAGACACAGGGACTCAGGGGACGTGTATTTCAATTCTTCTGCCTCTAGATACAATATTGCAGCATTTCAGGAAAAGCTCAGGGAAAGCCATGGCCTCAAGCACAACTACCAAGAAGTTGAGGGAGGAAGCCACCTGCTGCATCTGCCTGGAGCTGATGACTGAGCCCGTGAGCATCAACTGTGGGCACAGTTACTGCTGCCAGTGCATAGTGGGCATCATTGAGAAGCAGTGCTTTATGACAGCACAGAGGAGTTTCCAGTGTCCTCAGTGTCGAGCAACATTTAAAAGGGAGAGCCTCCGGCCAAACAAGCAACTGCAAAACCTCATTGAAGCCATCAAGGAGACAGAGTGTGAGAAATTGTGTGAGACACACAGAGAGCAGCTGCACCTGTTCTGTGAAAACGATGAACAGCTCATCTGCTGGCGCTGTGAGCGGGCAGAGCACAAAGGACACAGCACAGCTCTTGTGGAAGACATCTACCAGAGCTTCAAGGTGAGCTTGAAGTCCTTCAAGGTCCGAAGGACTTCTCTGAACCTAGGCATGCATTGCTCCACAAAACAATGTTTTATTTGTTTTGTTGTTTTGTTGGAATAACATTGACATTGTTTATATGTTTGAGGGATATTATTTTCAGCGTTCTTCAACAGTGAATTGTCAAGTCATTTTGACCAACCTCCATCTACTGAAACTTTGAGCCCTCTGTGTCTCCACTGCTTCTTTCTTTCAATCTCAGTTCTGTACCCCCAAATGAATTGTTGGTTTGGTGTCTTTCCTTGCTGTTTTTTTTCTCAGCTGATGTATGAAATTTTCTTGTGATTTTTTTCACTCTTGTTGAATTATTTTCTTTGCCATGATACCCGGGCTGGCGCGATAGCACGGTGGGTAGGGTGTTTGCCTTGCACGCTGCTGACCCTGTTCAATTCCTCTGCCCCTCTCAGAGAGTCTGGCAAGCTACCAAGATTATCCCATCTGCATGACAAAGCCTGGCAAGCTCCCCATGGCACATTCGATATGCCAAAAACAGTAGCAACAAGTCTCACAATGGAGACTTACTGGTGTCCACTCGAGCAAATCGATGAACAACGGGAGGACAGTGCTACAGTACTACAACCATGATACCCTTCAGCCCTATCCATATTATCACAGTTGAGGAGATTTTATATTGTCTATGCCTGAGTTGGGCTGGAGCGATAGCACACTGGTAGGTCGTTTGCCTTGCATGCAGCCAACATGGCCAACCCGAGTTCGATTCCTCCGCCCCTCTCTGATAGCCCGGCAAGCTACCGAGAGTATCTCGCCCGCACAGCAGAGCCTGGCAAGCTCCCTGTGACGTATTCAATATGCCAAACACAGTAACAATAAAGTCTCCAATGGAGACGTTACTGGGCCCGCTCGAGCAAATCGATGAACAACAGGAGGGCCTTTACCTTTACCTTTACCTTTACCTTTACCTTTACCTTTATGCCTGAGTTGAATTCCATTATGGGTACACATCATCTTTACCCACTAGGATTATTCGCACATCTTGTCTATTTTAAATAGCATTAATGTAATGATCATTAGAGTGGATTCATGATGTTGTCTCTTCTTGATGGATAACTAAGATTAAAATTGATGTTTTATATTATAAGGATAGGTGGATAGTGGAGGTCAGCTGCTGGGGCTGGGTCCCTTGGGGCAGGGAGGGTTCTCACCCACACCCCCCTGCTTGGGTCCCCCGAATGAAAACAGCCTGGCAAGGAGTCTTGTGAAATGGTTATGAGGGCCTCATTTTATGCTCCCTTCCGGAAGAAGCCTCTGTGAGTTCGAGGATAAGTGATTATTCTGAAAATTTTTTTCTTTTGGGTCACACCCGGCAATGCACAGGGGTTACTCCTAGCTCATGCACTCAGGAATTACACCTGGCAGTTCTTGGAGGACGATATGGGATGCTGGGAATCGACCCTGGGTTGGCTGCTTGCAAGGCAAATGCCCTACCTTCTGTGCTATTGCTCCTGCCTCCTGAAAATTTTGTAGTTTTGAAAAACCTCTATGATTTCTAAGGAGAATGAACCAATTTATATTTTCACCAACAATACATGAGTAATTTCTTTTTTCCACAACTTTGCCAACACTTGTTTTTTGAGTCTTTGTGTTAAATTTTTAGAGCATGGTCTCAGAGGTGAGTTATTATCTCATTGTAGTTTCGATTTGCATTTCCCCCATCATAATGGATATTGAGTGTTATTTATGTCCCTGATGATGATTTGTATATTTTTTTCAGAAAACATCTATCGATCTCTTCCATCTTCCCTTCTTGTTTTTTAGTTTCCTGTTGGTTTTTGTTTATTTGTTTATTTTGGGGCAACACCCAGCATTGCTCAGGGTTACTCCTGGCTCTGCATTCAAAGATCACTCCTGATGTGCTCGGACCATATGGGGTGCTGGAAATTGAACCTGGGTCAGCCTCCTTCAAGTTAAGCACTTAATCTTCCCATACTGTATCTCACCAGCCCTCCTGATCTTTTTGTTTTTGTTTACAGTTTTAATATTTCTTTCAAAATCTTAATCAATCACTTGTTGGATGTGTACTATGCAAATATTTTCCCCATTACATAGAATGCCTTTTGTTTTATTGATACTTTCTTTCAGTGTGCAAGTTTGTGTATATTTTCTGTATAGTCTCAATGTTTATTTACTTTTGCTTTTGTTTCCCTTGTTAAAATTGACATCTCAAATTTCTTCCTGAGCTCACTGTCATTGGGCTTTTTTCTTTGCTTTCCTGCATGTACTTTATGGCTACAAGTTCTATATCAAATTGCCTCAAACATTTTGTGTTCATTTTTGCGTATGGTGTGGAATGATGATCTGGTTTCTTGCAAGTAGATAGCTAGTTTTTCCAGTGCCATCTGTTAAAGAAATTTTCTAAGTCTCCATTGTATGTGTTTATACCCTTTGTCACAAATTAAGTGCTCAGATATGTGTGGCTTTATTTCTGGCAGTCTATTGTTTCTAGTAATTTTTTGTGGATTCTCTAGAATTGTATGTATGATATGGAATCTGCAGATACTGATAATTTTACTTCTTTCTTTCCAGTTTGAATTTTTTCTTGACTTTTTACTCTAAGTCTTCCAGTACTATATAAAATAATAGTGATGACCATAAATAACATTCTTGTTCTTGATTTTAGGAATAAAGCTTTCTTTTGCTATTAAGTATGATGTTGGTTGTGTATATGTTGTGAATGTTTAGTTTTGTGTTTAGAAATGTTTCTCTATCATTTTTAGAGCATTTTTCCACAAATGGGTATTTAATCATGAAGACACCTTTCTCAGAGGATGAAAAGATAGTACAGTTGGTAGAGTACCTGCCTTGCAAGTGGCCCATCCTGGCATCCCATATAGTCTTCCAATTATATGCACCAGCAGTGATCCCTTAGTGCAAAGCCATGAATGATGTCTGAGCATCACAGAGTGTGGCCACAAAACAAACAACAACCACCAAAGTACCTTTCTCTATGGAAGATGATTTTCTTTTTGTGTGTGTGTATTCAATATGCCAAAACGCAGTAACAAGTCTCAAAATGGAGACGTTACTGGGCCTGTTCGAGCAAATCTATGAACAACGGAAGGACAGTGCAGTACAGTGCAGTGTGTGTAATGTATTAATTTTTTTATTTGCATATAAGCAATAGTTCTGACATTCTAAGTAAAGACTGATCAGGTTTCATATCACCCCTTAATAAATGGTGAATTCAATTTCCTTAGATTTTGTTTAGGATTTTTTTTTTAATTTATTTATTGAATCACTGTGGGAAAGGTTACAAAGCTTTCAGGTTTAGGTCTCAGTCATGCAAATATCAAACACATTTCCCTTTACCAATACTTATTTTTTACCATGAAGAACCCCAATAAAACCCCACCCCCACCCCTCCCAGTCCCTGTGAGGCAGATGAATTCTAGTTAACACTCTATCTGCTTTGATTAGATTCACCGTTTCAATAAAAGATTCACCACTATTATTTAGAGTTTACCCCCCCCCCCCAAATCAGACATGCTGAAAAAGCATTGTGAAGTGATTTGCTTTCTACAACTGGGTTCAAGAATTAAATGTTGGTTTTGGATTTCTGCTATTTTACCTATTGACCCTGGAAGTATTTCTACTGAAAGTCAGATATTTAAGAAATTGGTTTCTGTGTTCTGGAGTCGTGGCCGTGCTGGAGAGCCGCTAGTGGGGGGCAATTGGTGGCCTCGGTAGGGCGTGAAGGGCGGACCGAAACGCCCCCCTTCCCATGAGGTTTTAGTCGCCCCCACTCCCCCAGCTCATACCTGCTGTCCACAAGGCTCCCATGCCGCCGCCATCTTTCTTTCCAGAGAGGAGAGGGCGAATGTGGCAACACCCTTTCCCCTCCGGACAGACATGATGGCCTGGATTAACGCATAGTCCTTTCACTTTTCTGCTCCAAGCTGCCGGGTTCTGCATTAAGTCCTTGTGCTTCTGGGGCCATGACTGTGCTGGAGAGCCACTCGCGGGGGGCAACTGATGACCTCGGTAGGGCGTGAAGGTCGGACAGGAATACCCCCCTTCCCATGAGGTTTTAGTCACCCCCACACCCTCGGCTCATACCTGCTGTCCACAAGGCTCCCATGTGGCCGCCATCTTTCTTTCCAGAGGGAGGAGGGCGGAAGGGAGCAACACCCTTTCCCCTCCGGCAGACTTGCTGGTCTTGATTAACGCATAGTCCGTTCACTTTTCTGCTCCAAGCTGCTGGGTTCTGCATTAAGTCCTTGTGCAACTGGGGCTGTGGCCGTGCTGGAGAGCCGCTCGTGGGGGGCAATTGGTGGCCTCAGTAGGGCGTGAAGGACGGACTGGAACGCTCCCCTTCCCATGAGGTTTTAGTCGCCCCCACACCCCCGGCTCATACCTGCTGTCCACAAGGCTCCCATGCGGCCGCCATCCTTCTTTCCAGAGAAGAGAGGGCAAATGGGGCAACACCCTTTCCCCTACGGGCAGACAAGATGTCTTGCATTAATATATAGTCCGTTCACTTTTCTGCTCCAAGCTGCTGGGTTCTGCATTAAGTCCTTGTGTTTCTGGGGCTGTGGCCGTGCTCCAAACTTAACTCTGATTTTCAGGGAGAAAGGTTGGGTGGTTTACTTCCCATTGATCACTTTGTATATAGAGAGATGTCGCGCGGCCGCACGGTTTTGAGGAAAAGTCCTAGTTCCCGCATACTCGAGCTGTGCTTGTAGAGGCTTCTGGTCACCGGGGTTCCATCTGGGGGAGGTGGGATGCGGTACCTACCCCATCTGGGACTTCCCAGTGATCTCAGCTCTTTTTGGAACCTGTTTTTTTTTTTTCCTCCGGGATCTGTGGTTCCCGCCCTCCATGTGGTCCTTCTCTTTGGCTGTATGTTGTAAAGATGGCACTGGGGGCGGGCTGTGGGTGTGACTTCCGGAATCAGAGGTTACCTGGGAGCTGTAGTCCCGGCAGATTTGAGAAAAAGTCCTAGTTCCCGCATACTCGACCTGTGCTTGTAAAGGCTTCTGGTCACCGGGGTTCCATCTGGGGGAGGCGTGTTTAGGATTTTTACATTTGTCTTTGCCAACGATGTTGGAATAGGTCTATTTTTACAACTCCTGTCTTGTTTTTTGGAGTCAGGATAACATTGGCCTCTTACATGATCCTAGAATCACACTTTGCTTCATTTATTTTTGCGAGAGTTTTCCAAGCACTTGCAAAATAAGGTATAAGATCTTCTAATAGGTTTGTGGAAGTTAACATGAAATCATTTGGTCATAATATTTCCTTTGGGGGATACTTTTGATTCAAGTTTCACTGTCATTGCTTGTACTGGGAGTGTTCAGATTTCTCTTATCTCCTGATTCAATTCTGTAAAATTATCTGCTGCTTAGAAGCTGACCATTTCTTTTACCTATTTCATAGTATTGGTACAGTACATTGAGAGTAGTGCCTTGTAAACCTTTGGATTTCTGTGGTATCTATTATAGGTAAAGGTAAAGACCCTCCCGTTGATCATCGATTTGCTCGAGCGAGTCCTGTAACGTCTCCATTGGAGACTTTGTTGTTACTGTGTCTGGCATATCGAATACTCTCGGTAGCTTGCCGGGCTCTCTGAGAGGGGCGGGGGAATCGAACTCGGGTTGGCCATGTTGGCTGTGTGCAAGGCAAATGCCATACCCGCTGTGCTATTATAATGCTTCTCTAATTATTCTATGAGAGTGTTCTTTCATGTTTCCTAATGAGACTTGCTGCACACATAAAGATTTGTCCATGTTGTTTATCCTATAAAGAAGTAGTTAGGTTACTTTTGTTATTTTGATTTATATTTTTTTCTTCTCCAATATTTATCATTTCTTTCCTTCATCTGGCTTTGGGTTTCATTTGGTCTTCTTTCTCCTTTATTTGCTATAGGATTACAATGTTTGTTTACTATTTTTCTTATTTTGTGATGTAGGCCTATCACATTATGAAATTCCCTCTTAGTACTGCTTAGCAGTGTCCAAGATGTTCTGAAAGCACATGCCTACATTTTTTTTACAACCTTTGTACAGTTATAAAGCTTTCATATGGAGCGATAGCACAGCGGTAGGGCGTTTGCCTTACAAGCAGCCAACATGGCCGACACGAGTTCAATTCCTCCGCCCCTCTCAGAGAGCCTGGCAAGCTACCGAGAGTGTCTCGCCCACAGGGCAAAGCCTGGCAAGCTACCCGTGACGTATTCGATATGCCAAACACAGTAACAACAAGTCTCATGATGGAGACGTTACTGGGCCCGCTTGAGCAAATCGATGAACAACGGGAGGACCGTGAGTCATACAATGATTGAACACTAATTCCTCCACCAGTGCACATTTTCCACCACCAATGAACCCCATACCCCCCCATCACAATTCTTTTCCTGCCTCTATGACAGACAATTTCCCCCATATTCTCTCTCTAGAGTGTAATTTCCCCCATACTCACTCTCTCTCTCTGTTGGGCATATTGGTTTGCAATACAGATACTGAATTGGTATGAAATTGAGATTATAATTATTTTAATCATTATAATCATGTAAACTTTTGTAATGGCAACTTTCTGAAAACTAGTCTGTGTGGTTACTTACGAAACAGATGCTGCAGATGCTGACTGCACCCCAACCTTCAATAGTCCTGTCCATTCCCTTCCACTCTCACTATGAACAGTTGTGCTCTAGATGCCTTATGAGTAAACCCCATTATTGTTTCTAATCTTTTATGAAACTGAGACAACACAATGTGTAAGAACATGTAATAGAAATTGAAACCACAGCAGACAGAGTCACAATACTGTTTGACCGTATAGCCTAACCTTAATCAACCAGAAAGTGAAGAATGCTCATGATACTTTTCTTTAAGTGAGTATGAGGTCCCCAGTGCATAGAGAAAAGATTGGGTGTTCCAGACATGAGATCGCCATGTATGGCATTGATAAGAGAATTTGCCTGACACCGTGTTCAGGCCTGTGTGTGTGGAACAAAAGGCTGAATATGGTGTGGGAAAGCAATATGGTCCTGGAACCTTATCTGGGCCCAGAGGAGCACTGATAACTTAGGTGCTTTCACTGTTCATTCTTGCCTTTTCTATTCTGACTTAAATCAAGGAATATCTTTGTCACTTGAGTATTACCTTTCCCCTTCCTAAAACTTAGTTTCTACAGCATATAACTGATGTCCAGAATGAGTATCTTATGATTGCCAAGGCAATCAAGTATATTCACTGCACCAACAGACCTCAGCATCTGAGGGCTCAACAAGTCTTCAATGCTCTCATATTTTAGAAAACTAGGATTCCCATCAGAAATCTGTGAAAAGTTGTCAAATCGCATAAACTTTACTATCTCAATTTTTCCTCCAGGAGAAGCTCGAGAAAACTGTGACAGTGCTGAAGGACACAAAAGAACAATATAAGAATCTGAAGCTGTTAACAAGAAAACAAATAACTGACTGGGAGGTAAGATTTTTGTATTTTCTTAAGCTCAAACTAGTTTCTGTCCTAGAGCCAGGCAAAGTGGGGACCAGAGAGAAGTACTTTCTTTTTTTTTTCACTTGATCACTTGACTTCCGTTAATCGTGGATTTGCTCTAGCAGGCGCTAATGTCTTCATTTGTCCCTGTAGCGTACTAGTGTAGCCCAGTGGCGTCTGTTCATTCTAGGAACACGAAGAACCTCAAACCGATCATTCAAGATCTTGATGAAGAAGTCTGACCAAACTTCTTTTTTTTTTAAATTTTTTTACTGAATCACCATGAGAGAGGGCTGGAGCAATAGCACAGCTGTAGGGCATTTGCCTTGCACGCAGCCAACATGGCAGACCCGAGTTCGATTCCTCCACCCCTATCGGAGAGCCTGGTAAGCTACTGAGAGTATCTCGCCCGCACTGCAGAGCCTGGCAAGCTACCAGTGATGTATTTGATATGCCAAACACAGTAACAACAAAGTCTCCAATGGAGACGTTACTGAGCCCGCTCGAGCAAATTGATGAACAACGGGAGGACAGTGATATATATATACACCATGAGCGACAGTTATAAAGCTTTCATATTTGAGTTTAAGTTATACAATGATTGAACACCCATTCCTCCACCAGTGCAGATTTTCCACAGCCAACATTCCATCCCCGTGACATATTCAATATGCCAAACACAGTTCTCACGATGGAGACATTACTGGGCCCACTTGAGCAAATTGATGAACAATGGGAGGACAGTGCTACAGTGCTAATGTTCCATCCCAACCCTTCCCCTGCCTCTATGGCAGGGAATTTCCCCCATACTCTCTCTACACATGGTTTTATTATGGTTTGCAATGGGCATTATGGTTTGCAGTACAGATACTAAGAGGCTATCAAGTTTGGTCCTTTATCTATTTTCAGCACACATCTCCCATCCCAAATGATCCCTCCAACCATCATTGACTTAGTGATCCCTTCTCTGTCCCAGCTGCTTTCTCCCCCAGCTCATGAAGAAGGCTTCTAGCCATGGAGCAATATTCCTAGCCCTTCTACTGTCCTTTGGTGTCAGTCTCGTATTATGTTATTTTATATTCCACAAATGAGTGCAGTCATTCTATGTCTGTCTGTTTTTCTGACTCATTTCACTTAGCATAGTACTCTTCATGTATTTCCACTTATAAGAAAATTTCATGACTTCATCTTTCCTAACAACTACATAGTATTCCATTGTGTCAATGTACCAAAGTTTCTTGAACCAGTCGTCTGTTCTCAGGCACTTGGGTTGTTTCCAGATTCTGGTTATTGTGAACAATGCTGCAATGAACATACAGGTGCAGATATCATTTCTACTGTGCATTCTGCATTCCCAGAAGAGGTATTGCTGGGTCATATGGAAGCTAGCATTTTAAGGAATGCCTATATTGTTTTCCAAAAAGGCTGGACCAGTCCCACAAAAACTACTTTTCTGGCTGAGTTCTCTTGCTAAAAATGACTTAGACTGTTAAAGTACAAAGTCTGAAGTGTCATTTTTTTTCTTATTTTAGTTTTCCATCTCCATGAGAAGTTATCTCCAAATATTAGACCTTTTAATAGTAATCATTTAGAATTTTTAATCTTATTGGAGAGAAGAATTAGGATGCCTACATACCTTTACCTTGTTTGATCCTTGACTGTTTAAAATGCTGAAAGTCTCAAAATTATGGCCTGTCCTGAAGATTACCCTCATCACTTTGATGATTTACAGATCCTGACACTTCATTTGCCAGGTCTGGAAGCCAACCTTAGTGACTAATAAGGAATAGAATCACCCCCGATGGGGTTCATATGCTTCAAGTACATAAAGCTTGTGGGGTAGAGCAATGGGCACCGGAACAGATGAAGCCTGGCCTTGTAAAGTGGCCCTGAAGCAAAGTCTCTCAAAAGGGAGTAACTGGGCAAAATTACCAAAACAGGGTGTTTGTACCAGGTGTCCAACCTCGAGCCTCATTCAACCTCCTAGTCAAATATGCCCAAAATACAGAAACCGTCATGTATGCCTTTATCAAGCTATTCTAACTACAACATACAGTCTTGAAAGGGATTGGACCAGGGTAAAAGCAGAGTAGAAAAGTTAATAGGCCAATAATGCTTAACTTTATGTGATTGGACTTCCTGTAAGACAAGACTCTCTGTAAAAATGTGTGTATTTGGCAATAAACTGAGCTGTGATCAACTGCTCCTAGAAGGTGTTTCTCCACATGCTCGTCTTCCTTTGCCCCATGACCAGGTATCTGCCTGAACCCGGTGCACAACCTGTCCGGGCACCTTGGGGAAAACTGTTCCCCAGTAGAAGCTAATGCAGATCAAGAGGATCAGAACGGTTGCAAGAGCATCCACACTTACAGATGCAGACTGAATATCTCTATTTCCATAACTGGCAAGACTGCCCAGGAATGGGAAAACATTTCTGTATGGGCAATTTGACAAACCCATCTGTCTGCAGTCTTATCCAGCAGGCCAGTGAGTTATTTTTCCTTCTTCAGAATTGTTCTCCGATTTCTGCCCTTATATTTGTGTACAGATGTTAAATTTGAATTCTCACAGGATTGTCTTTTTTGACAATTGATTTTATACTTTCACTTTCGGGAAGTGTTCAAACCATAACCCGGGGATAAAAGGAGTCACCTGAGTGATGGTGAGGGACTTGGGAACCCCTCTACTAACTCTTGGCCAGCAGGCCAACAATTCAATGCTAGGGTCTGAGGGTGTCCTGCTGCTTGGACTCTGAGGTGTTAAGGATTATCCACATCACCCAGTGATGCTCAGAGATTCCCTAAGGATTCATCTGGTGGTACTCAAGTGGTACTTGACTCCTGAGATAAATCTGCAAATAATCAAATGACCATGAGGTGCCAGGATCTAACCAGGGATGAAGGCATGCCAGGAAAATGCCTTAACACCTATAGTATCTCTCCAGCCCCTAGGATCTTGATTTGTTTGTTTTTGTGACCATGATTTACAATACTGTTAATCAAAGGATTTCATGCCCATCTTATTCCAGCCCCTTACCTTTCACCAGAGTGTCCACCTCCCTCCACCATTGTCCCAGTATCCGCCAGCTCTTACCTCCAGTTCATTGTGCTTAGCTTCCTACTAAAGACTAGTTCTCAGTTTCAGCTTCTTTTGTTATACCCTTTTGTTTCTGACTTCCTTTTCTTGGCAGACTGTCTTCCAGATATGCCCAATTACAGCTGGTTGCAAGCGTTCCTTCGTTAGTGGTGCTGATTTTATTTCCACTATTTCTATGTACCTCATATTATTATTGGATCCATTTGTTGGTGAACATTTAGTTGGTTTTTATGTACTGAGCACATTTTATTCATTCTAGGAAAAGACAGAGCGCAGGAAACAGCAAATTCACGCTGACTTCAAAAATCTCCACATGTTTCTGTATGAAGAGGAGAAGTCTTATATATGGAAGCTTGAAAAGGTAAAAGATCAGACTCTAGAGAACTTGCTGGACAGAGAAACCAAACAGGAGAAGCAGATCCAGGAACTCAAGGACCGCATTGTGGCACTGGAAAGGAAATGTCAGGGCTCAGCCCAGAATTTATTGCAGGTGAGACCTTGTCCTGCCTCTGAGTTACTAAGAGGAATTTGTAGGGCCGGGAAGACAGTTCAGGAGGGAGGTCACTTGCATTACATTCATAACAGTGGCTGCCACTCTGATGCAAACCCTAGACACGTGAATGGTCCCCTGATCACCACAGGAGATCACTTCTAAGCAAAAGATCCAGGTGGTATAGTCACTGAGCACTGCAGAGTGTGGCCCCCCAAAATACAAAACAGGCAGTTGAGAAAGATGAGCCAGATGTGCCACTTCACTCAATAATGTGCACCAATGTTAAGAATGTATTGAAAGGCTTCTTACAGATACGTCACTCTACATGCAGGTTTGCTTCCACATCTAATTTCCACATGCATAAAAATGTTATACCCTGTCTACATGGGGATCTTGGGACATGTGGAAAAATAAAAGATCAATGTCCTGCATATACTTTTCTCTGCTCCATACATATATTGCTTTGACTGTCAGACTATCTCTGAAAGACTATTGTAGATGTCTACCAGATATAATATGGGGTAACCTAAAAAGTGCTAAACTTTTCCATGATTTGGTTGTAAGTTCTTGCTCCAAACGGTCTTGTGAGCTACAGAAATAAATCAACCGATTAAAGCAAATGCCTGAAGATATTTGTTCTATAGTTCATCCAATAAAACTTGGACCTTATAGGCTGAGAATCTATAAACTAGCTGTCCTACTACCACATGACGCCTGCTGCCCCTACATAGTAGGACCTACTCAGGGGCTCAGATGGATTCAGCACTGCTTAATATGGGAATCATTGGCTGAAATCATCACTGGAAGCTGGAGGTACATGGGCACACTCCCAGCCATCTCCCCAAGCAGCCCACAGTCTAATGGGGCTGCAGACTTTTCCACTTCCTGAAGTCTACAGTAAGGAAACAACACACTCTGTTGTGGATAAGTGTGTTGCCTTGTGAAAATGCTAGGGGACCAGAATCAGAATCATCCCATAATGGATGGATACTGATGAAACCCATCAGTATCTAAGATTGAGATCAATGTTTTGATGTCTTGGAAGGATATTTTTATAGAACAGTCCTATATGCCAGGCCCCGTGAATGCAAATGTTCCCACATTCACCTCTGGTCTTTGTTTTTTACAGGATATAAAAGACACCTTGAGCAGGTGAGTGTCCATGGAAATAGTGTGGGCAGGGAAGTTCATGGACATAGAGACATGGATGGAAGGAGCCATTGAAGGAGTCTCTGGTCTCTGCTTATTCTAGGAACTCAGCTATCAACCTGGTAAAACCAAAGGAAGTGTTTTTGGAGCTGAATACTGTGTGCAACGTCTCTGAGCTTTACTTTGATGTGACAAAGATGTTAAGGCGCTATCAAGGTATGTTTGATCCCCAGCACCCCATATGACCCCCTGATCACCACTAGGAGTGATCTCTGTGTTTAGAGCCAGGAGTAAGCCCTGAGCACCACCAGGTGTGGCCCCAAAGGCAAAATAAAAAGAAAAGAATAGAAATCATAGTGACTAGTGTTGTGCTTGGGTGAGCCTCAAATGAACAGAGAGAGAGAGAGAGAGACAGCTCCGGATAGGATGAGTTTTTTATGTTAAGCCCGGGATGATGGGTTCCCAAGTGGCAATATGGACAGAGACGTGAACACGATAATGCAACAACAGTAGGAGTTTTATTCCAGTTAACTGGGGTCAACTATCTCACCCACCGAGGGGTCTCTTGATAGTGACCTGACCTTCAAGTGCAAGCAGTTTATATAGGGTTTGATTACATAAGCAGTACAAGCCTTATTGTTTCAGAAAAATCTTACTTAGTTACCAGACAAAGGTGTTTTGACAAGTGTCTAGGGTAACAGTGGTCAGGCAATAGTTAAACAATAATTTCCAATAACAGTTTATTGTTACATAAGCTACTCATTTTTTATGGTTAACAAAAGACAATTTCTGGGGAATTTTGACTGGTGACATAGTGATTGATTGAGCCCACTTGCTGGGCCCAGGAACTTTCCCAGGTTGGGTAGATACGCATTGTTCTGTTTCCTTGTGGGGAAACTGAACCTGTTTCACTACCAGGAACTGAGCCTGAGGCCTATTTGATTTTTCTCATTTCTGCTGCCTCCTCATGGCATCAGTTTCACCCTTACAATTAGAGGCTTAGAGCTGAGGACCCCAAGTCAGAAGAGAAAGAAACTTGGAGACCCCCGTTTGCTGTAAGGGTCTCTCTTTTATTCTCTAAGAGTGAACTATAATCTGCAGAAAGAAAAAAAATGAAGCATCTTTCACAGTCTTCAGGTGCCCCCAAAAATAAACATGAAAAGTCTGTGTCAGTATCTCTGGCCCATTTGGTGTGACCTTCATATGTCATCTCCCAGGCACTCCCCTAAGTGTGGCAGGCCTCCTGCTCCACCATTCATCTAGCGGGCCCTTATCCCAGCCAATTAGGCTGACCTTGGGGCTGGCTTCAGTGTCTCAGTTCTCATTACAGTTTCATAATTCTCATTACATACAGTTTCTTATTTGCAATTTCTTATGTGCCATTCCAGTAGTAAGAAGCAAAACTTGCATTTGAACAAAGACTGGGATTATTTAAGACAAACCATGTTCTCTGCATGTGAAAACACATTTTTTTTTCTTTTTATAGCCAATGTGATTCTAGATCCAGAGACAGCTCATCCTAATTTAGTTCTCTCGAAGGACCAGAGACAAGTGACTCATGGGTGTGTTCAGAAGAAGCCTGACATTCCTGGGAGATTTAGTGTCTTGCCCTGTGTCCTGGGCTGTGGGACCTTCACGTCGGGAAGACATTACTTTGAAGTGGACGTGGGAGAAGGAACCCAGTGGGATTTCGGAGTTTGTCTGGAAAATGTGGAGAGGAATGTTGACACGATACAGGGACCACAGTCTGGATTCTGGGCCATCAGACTAAGCAAAGACAAAGGCTACGTAGCCCTCACCTCTCTCTTAACTCCCCTTCATCTGAAGGAGCACCTTGAGGTTGTGGGGGTTTTCCTGGACTATGATGCTGGATTTGTGTCCTTTTACAATATGAATACTGGCTCCCACATCTACACCTTCCCGAAGGCATCTTTCTCTCATGCTCTTCGGCCCTATTTCCAGGTTTATCATCATTCTCCTTTGTTCTTGCCTCCCCCAGATAAGTAAGGAAAAAAGGCCAAATTTTCCCTTTGGTCAATTTCCATTGAGAATATTATGAAAATACTGGGGTTGGAGGGTAGAATATTGGTCTGATGTTTCATAACCACTTCCATGTTCTTACAACAGAATTGAGCTTTCAGTATAAAATATACATACATTGAAGTAAATGGGTATAAGTACTTTGAAAATAAAATACATGGTGAGCATGAACTGGGAGAAAACAAGGTATCATTTTGCATTACATCACATATTTTTCATGCCTCAACCTCTCCTTATTCTCAGGAGAGTGAGTTCAGATCTTTGATATCCAAGACTCCTGGACTAAACAAATTTGACCTGTTGCAGATGACAGTGTGAAGTGGGGAGAAGAGAAGTGGTGACCTTATGAGGGGAGTTTTGGGGGGAGGATGGGCACTGGTGGAGGGATGAGTACTTGATCATTGTATAACTGAAACCCAAGCACAAAAATTTATAAGTCTATAAATGTACCTCATGGTGTTTCACTAATAAAAAAATGATTAAATAAAAAAAAGAGGGGAGTTTAATGCCTTCCTCACTTACCTGGACCCCCAGGGAAGTGCCTGGATAGTGTGCCACTAACTCCTGCATAGCGTGCGTGCTTATGTCCCACCAGCTCCACTGAGCAATCTGTCAAATTGCGCCTGAGTACCCCTAGATAAACTCCTGTCACTGTCACTGTCCTCCCGTTGTTCATCGATTTGCTGGAGCGGGCCCAGTAACGTCTCCATTGGAGACTTTGTTGTTACTGTGTTTGGCATATTGAATACATCACGGGTCGCTTGCCAGGCTCTGCCGTTCGGGCGAGATACTCTCAGGAGCTTGCTGGGCTCTCTGAGAGAGATAAACTGCAGATAAACTCAGCACAGGAATTAATCCCTGCCACTGGATTTCTCAGGGAGCCTTGGGAATCAGGATGAGAAAGGAACTGTTATTAGCAGGAAAAGGAAGATCAGGCCTATTTGGTGTTGGGATTTTTATAGGTCCATTGCTTTCCCTTGCTGGGAAGAATTTCAAGAGGTGTCTACAGGCCAGGTCCCTGGGCAAGACTGTAGACTGTCAGTCAGCTCACATCCTGGGAGGAACTAACACCAAAATTGAAATTCTCATTTGTAATAAGTGTTGATTTGCTTCCATGGAGCTTAACAAAAGTGATGCCGGCTTTCTCCTATTTAACACTGTATTCTTTAACAATATATTTTAAATTATATGCTAATAAACTTTGAACGTTTACTTATTAATAGCCGATAAAAATGTTATCATTTGGGGTTGGAGCAATCGTCCAGCAGGAAGGGCTTTTGCTTTGTACGTGGTCAAGCTGTGTTCAATCTCAGGCATCCCATATAGTCCCCTGAGCACTGCCAGGAGTAACTCCTGAGTACAGAGCCAGGAGTAAACCTGAGCATCACCAGATGTGACTCCTAAAAAGGAAGAAAAGTTATCATCCATCTATCTTTTGTAGTTTAATTTAAAGGGCCCTCCTCGGAAGAAGATGGGGATAGGAAAAATAATTTTCTGGCTTGACATTGAAAAGGCACGCTGTGTGTGGGGGGAGGGAGATAGAGAAAGTGAGTGGGGTGATCAGGGGTCACTTGTTTTTCCTAACCCAAGTCCGCCCACGTCTAACCCCTGTCCCCACAGGAGTCATGGTTGATGTCAGGCCACCTCCACCCTTCAGGGAGTGAGTGTCAGTGCTGGAGCCCAGGCCCCCTGCCGGGAAGGCCTGGTGCACAGAGATAAGCCTGAGAAATGCACAGAGCCTCCAGTAGTTGAGGCCTGCTGTTTGCTTGCAGTGTAAGAGGCCTAGAATGCAGCACAGAGCACCCTGTCTGTCACAGTTCAGCAGAACAGGGTGGTAGATCACCTACCTCTTTTAAACCATTGTGAGTAGATCTTTACCAGTCAGTGGCAAGAATGTGTATGTGTGCAGGCATTATAATGCTATATCAGAGAACAGTGCATACAAACCAGGCACCAGTCAGCTCCCTGCAATTAGGCATGCCTGAAGGCAGTACCTTGACACCAGCAATAAGTCAACTCACTTCCTGTTTATATTCTAAATTCCTGAAAACTCCTCCCCCACACTAGAGTTTTTCTATATGTATCTATATCTCCCTCAAAGACCTATAACCCACAACAGAGATAAGAAGGGAGCACAAACTGACTACTCATTAGCGCATAAGTTATTCCTGCTATACTCAGAAGGGCCCCAGGCCACCCAATAGACAAGGCCAATCTTTTCTACCAGTTACAAAGAGGTTCCTCAGACAAGTAGTAGATAGATACTTGTCCATTTCTGCATCTATTTCTTGGAGGACCTGATTAAGACTCTGCTGAGTATCTGAGACTAATGTACAGCACCCAACGTGAAGAATGGCAGGACACAGGCAAGAGGAAAAGCATTGGCTGTGCCATTATCTGAAGTTTGCAGTGGCTGATACGGGGAGCAAACAGTTCTGATGCTGGTGGGGTCTTGGGAGACTTACCTGAGGCAGAGAGGAGAGACAGCAGTCTCTCAAGAAGGGGATCTGCTTGCTTTCTCCCTATCCACCTCTGCTGCACCAGGAACCATCTGGTGAAAGAGGAAGTCTCAGTTTCCCCTTGCCAGTGAGACAGAAAGCCAGACTCCATTTTGTGCCTCAGGGTCATGAGTTTACAACCTAATAATAAATAGCATGCCAGACTCCAAGGGCATGGACATAAAAGCTCAGACATCTGACCACAGATAACAAGAATGATTCAAGTAAATGTGAATGGTTTGATTAACCTGGGAGTCTCAAAGGAAGAGAGACCTACCTCCACTTCTGCCTCACGAGCAACACTGGGAGATCTAAGAATGAGACTCTGTGATGAGCCCCTACACAGCAAAGACCTCAAGTCCTATCAGCCCCACTAGGCAGCTGCCAACTGACCTGACATACTCCTGTTCTGCGTGGCACAGGATTTAATCCCTACCGCCCAATTTCTCTGGGAATCCTGGATTCGGGCTGGAGCAAGGAATTGCTCTTTGCAGAAAAGGACAGTCAGTCCTAGGCCTGACCCAGGCCTTTTGGGTCTTTGCCTTTCTCTCAGAAACTAATTACAGGAGATGATCAGTGGAGAAAAACTAAAACTAGATTTTATTTGGGGGTTTTGTAAAAGGGGAGGGAGGGAGGGAGGGAGGGAGGGAGGGAGGGAGGGAGGGAGGGAAGGAGAGGGAAATGGAAGGGAGAGACAGAGTGAGAGAGACAGAGAGACTAGGGGAGGGGAGGGGAGGAGAGAGAGAGAGAGAGAGAGAGAGAGAGAGAGAGAGAGAGAGAGAGAGAGAGAGAGAAGGGTGCTCAAGAGAGAACAGGGGTTTCTCCAAAGGCTGAGAGAGCCCTGAATGGCCCTTTTATGTGGGTGTTTTCCAGGTGACCTTGGCCTAAAGTTTCCTGTGGAGGTAAGAGTTGATCAGGTATTGTCAGAAAGGAAAAGCTTTGAAGTCCTTGGTGAATCTCTTTCAAGCCCTTAGTGCAGTTTTTGTCTCTGCTAAAGTTGTCCTCTCTGCAGGGGACTCCAACTTTCTTGGCTTCTTGGGGGTGGAGGGGTGTGTGTGTGTCTGTGGTGGTTGTTTCACCCAGAGAGAGACACTTTGAAATCTGCATAAGCAGCTACATAAAACCATGACCTGCCCCCCAATCCCAGGAACCCACAACAAAAGACTACCAAGAGAACCTTGACCCCACCCAATCAACTCCCACCAGGTAGAAACCCAGACCCAGTTAGCTTTTTTTTTTTTATTTTCTAATTTCTTTTTTTTATTAGTGAAAAACGATGAGGTACAGTTGTAGACTTACAAACTTTCGTGCTTGGGTTTCAGTTATTCAATGATCGAGTACCCAAAGGCAGTTCATAAAAAGGAAGAACCCATCCAAGAGAATTAGCTGAAATGGGGCTAATTGGAAAGAGAGAACTCTCACAAACATGTAGAAGGGCTAATGAAAATCGGGCCCCCTGTAGGTGGGTTTATGTGGAAGTAAAGAGGCCTGGGGCTGGGGAGGGATGCAAGGTTAAAGCAGTTATTTTCTCTCTTTCATATTAGCCCCTTTTCAGCTAATTCTCCTGGACCAGTTCTTCCTTTTCATGAACCGCCTCAGACTTGTCAGCCCAGTTAAGGATCTGACCAGGTTTTGATTCAGGTGCTCACAGCAGTCTTGGGGCCATTGGTCTTGGGGCCGGGGTCTTTCCTATGTACTTGCCTCCCTCATTTTGCTAGCTTGCTTCTATATCTGAAAACTTAAAAGCCGAGTGGTCCCTTGGTTCTAGGATGCCCTGGGCTCTTGGTTCCTGCTAACAAACTTCTTTCTCTTCCACTCACCTTGGCCTGCCATCTCAATTCCCTGAACTTGCCCCAATAAGGCTTTGCTCCTGGCTCTGCTCTTTACCTAAAATATCCCTCAGGAGACCACAGTGGAGATAAGGTTTTTAAAGATGTCCATCATCTTCTGGACAAAAGATTTTTTGCCCCTCCTTGACCCTTGTCTCCAAGAACTGGTCCTCCAGCAGCAAGCAGCTGAATTAAGGTTTGGTAACAGTTCAGAGTCACCTTAGAGATTAGCCTCCAGGGAGTAAACCCTGAGGGAATTGATTAACCACTAGGTTGCCTGCCAGCCAGGAACTCCCTTTTCCTAAAACTGTGCTTCCTGATTTCTCTACACAAATCCCTGCTGCTGACCATGGGGACAAAGTGGAGAATGTCCAGGTAGGAAAGGAAAGGAATTGTCCAGCTTAGGCAGAGTTGCTGGCAATCCAGAATGGGGGAAATGGGCTCCTTGAACTCTGCAAAGTCAAGTTTTTATTAGGCTTTCCCCAACTATGTCCAACTCTATTGCTAGGGCTTTGACGAACGGGAGTGGTTAGCATTCCTGAGTTTTTGATATTCTTATGACAGTTTTGGTTCCTAGGGGTCAAGCTCTCCCACTGGTTCTTGCTCCCCAGCATCTTAAATGCCTGGCTTTCTGCAAGAGTTTCTTGCATTTCAAAAGATCTGCAGATAGTCTGTCTTCTTCTTCTTCTTCTTCTTCTTCTTCTTCTTCTTCTTCTTCTTCTTCTTCTTCTTCTTCTTCTTCTTCTTCTTCTTCTTCTTCTTCTTCTCCTCCTCCTCCTATGTACGTAAATGCTGATCTTTGAATCTATAGGCTAAGGAGTGAGGTACTTTTAAATGGATTGGTTAAGAAAATATATGTTGTTACAAATCTCTTGGCTATGAAATGCACGGGCTTTGCTGTAATGGCCAGTGAAGGCCTATATAAGATCCCCTTTGAAGAAGTTCTGGGTCTTGCCTGAAGGCTTGACCCTGGCTAGCCAGTCTTACAATAAACCTTGCTTGCTGTTTGCAGTCTCAGGAGTCTCTTTGTTGTTAAAGGGAAATAATGATCCGAGTCCTAACACTTGTCACATGTCACATATTTGATATGCCAAAAAAAAGTAACAAGTCT